AATTACAAAATTTGTAATTATAATCTCCACAATAACATCTTTCTTTTCAGCCAGGATTAAAATAAAACTCTTAAATATATGCATGGTTTAGGGGATTTAAAATTGTTTTACCTCTTTCAACTGGACCTTGAATGTTTTCGTATATGTCTATCGAAGACCCATCAATAACAATCGTGTCGCTTGGTAAATACAGAGTTTCGTATTCCAGTGATCGAATATCTGTAAAAGAGAGTACAATTTTTATTTTTATTTTGAATGTTTTTTTTTTAAATCCAATTGGGTCATAACACTACAGTGTTCAATTTTATTATAAACTATCATTTTCGTAATCATTCAATATCTGAAAAAAAAATACAAGAAAACAAAACAAAAATAAATAAATTATGAAATACAACTATAAAATATTTTAACATCTTTAATTAATTTTTAAAGCTCCTGCTCTTATTTTTTGTGAAGGACTAAAGGTTTTGTTAGGAATTAGCATCCATAGTCGTGTACATTAATACAAATTAAATTATAGAGGTATTTTTGAAATAAAACACAAGTTTGATGGTATTAAAATTTAATTACTAATATTTAATATCTTTCTTAAACGTTGAATAAATCTTTCATGCGTTGATTTCAATTATCATAGTCGCAGTAATTATAACTACGAAAGCCATGACTTTGTATGGTTGTGGGTCTCGGTGTTTCTTCATAAGACGTTTAATAAATAAAAAATATTTTCCTTCCGTTTCTGTTGGGTTAAAAATTTTTTTGACAGCAAGTAATCTTGTATCTGAAACATTAAAAAATGTTATCAGTTAGTGTTATCTTTTTCTAAATAACGTATTGAAAAATGTTGCGATATTGCTCGTAACCTGAAAAAAATGTATAAAATCCACAAGTCTGTCAGTTGTAAATATAGACTTATCATCTATGATAAGTTAGTAATAGTACAGCTCGTCAAAGTTATGCGTGTCATCACATCATTTTTTATACATTATATTTAGGTAGCCATGCGTTACCACACCCTATCAGGTTTTTGTTGGTGAAGAAAAAATACCGTTCAATAATTTTCAATGATGTGCCTTTAAAACATATTTAAAAATAAAAAAAGTTGAATACAACTGTCAGTAAACAACAGTTTTTTTGTTAATTTAAGTACCCTAATATTATTTTTTTATCGAGATGATGATATTATCATGTACTAAAATCAAATTATTTGTAAATAAATACACAACAATAGATAAAAAATTAAGATTCCACCGCAGGTCTACTTTTAAGACCTTGTTAACATCACTTTTATTCAACGATCGCGCTATTCATCCCAACCTTGGTAGAGCTACGATCTAAAAATTCTAAATCATTTTTATTAATTCAGTAAATGTTAAAAATACACCGTACATTAATGATACGCCTGTTAACAAATCACATTTTATTTGAAGCTCGATAACTGACGAAAAGATATTGTAGTGCATCCAATGCGAGAAAAGGGACGCAAAGTTTTAATGATTAAAGCGGTAACATGAACAAATCATTCGACATGTTCATATAGGCAAGTTGGACATACCGACGATAACAGTCGTGACTCGCGAACTATTGATTTTCGATGAACAATACGTATAGGGCGCACAATGAGCGCTACGTCGATACTTGCAATGCATATTAAAGTGTATAGAAACGTCAATAGATTAAAACGTGAATACCTATACATGCAGCAAAAAGTACACCAGCTCCGTTTCACCCTGTGTAATCAATAAAATATCAGCAACTGAAAAATACCAAAATAACGAACGGCAAACTATCCTCTGGGATGGAGAAAAAAAGTGTACCTCTCAAACTCTCGTTACAAAGTGTCCATGTCACATGCATCCAACGAAAAAGGAAAAAATCGCAGATGCAAAGAAGTGACCGGAGCGAACGGCGACTAAAATGCAATTTATCGCGCCGAGGGTGTGTATTGCATGACACGTGACGGCATCGGTGTCCGAGGATACAGCTTTTACGGGTGAAAAAGAAGCTTAAAAAATAGGGGGGAGGAGGTGAAAGGAATTCTCCTTTTTGTCGGAGAGTAGAAATTTATGTCGGGGCGAAATAAGGGTCGGCGGGTAGTAAAAAAAAAAAAAAAAAATCCTCCTGCCAGCGACGTTTTCAGAGACTCCGAGCTTATCGGGTTTCGTTGATGTCGAGAGGGTCAGACGTCGTTGGCTTGCCGGAGATCTTTTGCTTTACTGATTCAAATGTTTGGAAAAACTTTTTTTTTTTTTCACACGGATTTCAGATAGGAAAGTGTTGGAGTTCAAAGACGGATGACTCGTCAATCAGTTTTTTTTTTTTTTTTTTTTTGTTGTTTTTTCTCATCAGAACGTTACTCGAGTTGGTGCAAACTTGATATTTTATTTCTGAATATACAATGTAGTACCTATTTATACTGCACTAAAAAAAAATTTTTTTTTATCACGACTTGTAAAACGTATTACAGGAATACAATTTTTCCAGCATATTTATGTTCTGTGAAATATTGCTTTGCGTGTTTATTATATTTTAATCAGTAGTGAAAACAAAATTTACCAGAAAAAAAAAAACTATGTTAAAAAACGAACAAAGTAATCGTACCCGCTGCTTAACAGTGATATAAAATACGTAGGGATTTGTTAAACTTTTCCCAAAGTCGTGTCTGTCAATAATGTCGCAGTGAAAAATTTCCATCGCCAACCCTCCGATACCGTTCGGAAATTCTCGGAATTCCATCCCGTTAGATGGATCCCGGCAAATATAAACCGTAGCAAAGCAAAATAAATATTTTTCCACTCTCATATTATACGATCGAGCATTAAAAATTCCGACCCCGCGCAGCAAACCCACGAGTACCTGTATATCAATTCAGCCGGAAATGCTTTCTTTACGAAAAAAAAAAAAAAAAAAAAAGGAACCAACAATGAGAGCCGGCCCCTCGTTTTCTGGGCGATCGGCTCCAATCAGTCAGCAGCACGAAAATATCGACGGTGCTACATGCACACCGGTACAGGGTATAGGTACGCTGATCTTCCCTCATCTATCCGGTTTCGACAAGAACGCTCGTAGAGAGAAAAAACACTTCTTTTATACACACTCGTTTCCACGGGGGAAGCTCATAGCCACTGTGCACGAGAAAGATAGTATATACATACGAGTAAGTATGGTCGTCGAGTNATGCAATTTTAATGAAAAAATTTGAAAGAGTCAAAGAATTTGAAGCAAATACAGTAAACTTTGATATTGAAAATGTATGATAAAGTTATCAACCAAAAAAATTTTTTAGAGTGGGTTGATCGTGACGTGTTGATTTTTCATTGAGGCGAACGGAAACGATCGATTTTTTTTCTTTACTCATCTTCCCTCATCTATCCGGTTTCGACAAGAACGCTCGTAGAGAGAAAAAACACTTCTTTTATACACACTCGTTTCCACGGGGGAAGCTCATAGCCACTGTGCACGAGAAAGATAGTATATACATACGAGTAAGTATGGTCGTCGAGTTTGAGAAATCGAGCGCAAAAGCTTCTCTCGTGCTGCTATTGCAAACGTGTTGTATATACTTCAGAGCGCGAGCTTGCAAGCTCCGGCTTCGCGTTGTAACTCTCATTGTCTCTCGTTTCTTTTCATTTTTCCTTTCGTTTCATCGCACAGCTGTAACTTTTATAATTCCAGCTTCCCACGCTCTTTCCTTCCATGCCGCTGGTTTTTATTTATATCGCAATGTCCTTGCGCCAATAGTACGACTTTCGACGATGTAAACGCGGCGTCTGCATTGAAAAAAAAAAAAAAAAAAAAAAAAAAAATCAACTCGCTCCTTTACCCAACAATATAGCGAGAGAGAAAGAACCAATGGAGAGTGCGTCGTGATAATGTTCACTTCTTCGAACAATGCATTTTTAACTTTTTTTTTTTTTCATCATTTTTGTAGGTGACGATTCATGCAAATAGGCGTCAAACAACACAGTGTCGCCTATGCCTTTGTATGACGCGTAGCAGATAGGGACGTTCGTTCGGATAAACATGTACATGTAGGTATAAGCGCGGTGGCGATGCGTCGTTGCGAGAGAAGGGAAGAAAATCAGATGAGCCAGAGGGAGAGATGTACTGTATATGTAGGCGGAGCCACGCGAGCGACGGGTTGGGAATTTGGCAGAAAATCGATTTCGCCGATGATCAATTGGCGCTGCTGGATGCTCGATTAATGCCGGCTATAGCTGCTCGTGACGATATTTGCTCCGGTAGTTGTTGGGGATTGGCTGCGGTTGGGTGTTTTTTTTTTTTTTTTTTTTTTATTTACTGTTGATACTATTGTTTGTAGGGGCATATACGCTTTGGCGTTCGAGGTTTTTTATGGATTAGATTCAATGGGTGGTGCGAGAGAGCGATGTTAGCATCGCGAGGAGTCTCGTCTAACAAACTACATCAAGTCTAATAAATGTATAACACGCACAAATATTTGTACTCAACTTTTCGATAAATTTAAAGGGCATACAGTTTCGAGGAGAAAAAATTTACGGAAGCGAGGAAAATTTTTCGCTCAAGTTTATCGAAAATTAATCTGTACAAGACAGAAACACGGGTTGCTTTCGTTACCTCAGTTTAATATGCTACAAAAAAGCTGACAAGGGAGTTAAAAACAGGAAAAAAAAGAAATAAATAATTTCGTCAAAACATCACAGCAGGTGTCTCGAAAATTCGATTTAAACGGCAAATACCAAACCAAACTAGTCCATTTGGGTCCAACGAAATCGTAAAAAATCTCGAAATTCAATAATCAACGAGCAAAGCCAAAAAATCCCCACCCCCCGTAACATTACACCGCCGACTCAGCTCTTCCTTCATTACCTCCTTTGCTTTCCCGTTAATTACCCAGAGCAAACATTTGGCAAACGCCCCCGTGGCGCGGCCGATAAAATTTCCTCCCTTCATCCACTCGCTCGCGCGCATATGTACAATGTATGTATGTATGTATGTACCATGAACGCGGGTGTGTGTTACAGCGAGGTACGTGTGGTGGAGCGTTTTCTCATCGCTGGCGCCGCTGACGCTGCAACGGTTCCACGATCTCGGCTTCGAGTTCACGCGCAAGGCGTTCGGCCTGAAGGAAATGACGCCCAGATGGAAGCGCTGCACCAGCAACGTCAACTCCGCCTTTGGCATGGCTCTCAGCTACGTTTACGTGCTAAGGCACTTTGACGGCGAGGCGCGAGAAAAGGTCAGTTTTGCTTTCTTTTTCTTTTATTTATTTATTTTTTTTTTTTTTTTTCATCACCGATGCCCAATGTTCTTTGCCCATTGCTTACTTGAGCGATGAGCCCAATTGTGATGAAAAAAAGACCCCCTGCATTAGAGCTTATGTTTTGTTAATTCAATCACACGTTACGTGTGCTCCTCAAAAGGTTGCAGAATATTGCATTGCGTTTCTCAAAAAATTGAAAATTCGCGCGAATAATATACGGTTCATACGCTACCATTGTTTCAAACTATATCTATACCCTCACCCTCCAAATGATCAAATTTCAAGGCAAACAACTACCCTGTCCTTTGTCGTTTGATTTTTACCGACCAAACGCATCCAGCCGACCCCTCGCTTCCCGACTTTTCAGTCATTAATGTCTATCCGGGAAATCCTCGAGCGACACAAAAAATTTCACAACATACACCCCCATGTACGGGCGGCTCGATCTCTACAAAACCTCCCTCGTTGGAGACCCTCTGTTGTGCGTATACGTATACAGACCGAGTTTTCCCACCGTGTATGTGGGGATTTCTTGATTTCTCCTCTTTTTCCTTGCACCCTTGTTGGGCAGTCGAAGGAATCGCGTTATTTATTGCGCCTCGGGTGTGAATGGGGGATGAGGGCCCGGCGGAAGGAAAAGATAGCATTTTTTTATTCCATGCACCCGTACAACGAAATAACTCCGCGAGACTGGAAGATCATCAAAGTAGGGTACGCGTGTGATGAACGAGCGAGCTCTGGTACATATGCATATATATATATATTTGTATCTTTACTCATAATATATGCCAGAGAGTGGGTTGATCGTGACGTGTTGATTTTTCATTGAGGCGAACGGAAACGATCGATTTTTTTTCTTTACTCGCCAAAAAAAAGGAAAAAGACGCCGGACAGGTAAGAGCAGGGATGAGCTTTTTTTTCTCCCCTCCTCCCGAGTTACCAAGCTCTGCTACCTTGGATTCCAGGTTGAAGTAACCCTTGGCACTTTTGCTTCTTCCCCTCTGCATGTAACCAACACATTTGTGTGTATGTTGCCCTTGCCCTTTTTTTTTCCTAGCTTGGAATCAAAGGAGGAGGAGGAAGAGCTCATCGAGTTTCCCCAAGCACGAAAAGAGCCGTGAGTGCACTTGCGGTTTTTTATTTTCTTCCTTTGCGGGATCAAAGGCCCAAGTGGCATCACTTTTCACATTTTCCCCCGGAAAAGTGGATTTTTCTCGCCACGTTTACCCTGAAACATCATACTTTTCGATACGTATACGGGTCAGGGACTATATACGCAACTTTGCTCGTAACGAGGGGCTATGTAATGAAACGCAATGCAACAATAAGCCCCTGCATGTGCCACGTGGGTAAAACAATCCAAAGGCAAAGATAATTATTTTGTACGGGTGTACACGCAATGGAGATGATGCAGGCGCTGAAAATGCTGACGGACGTGCGGATGGCTTTCGACAGCATGGTCTCGGAGCTCGACTGGATGGACGGGGACACGCGAGCCAGAGCCCACCGCAAGTTGCACGCGATGCGGCCCTTCGTTGGTTTTCCCGAGTGGATCATGAATCCCGACAAACTCGACGCATTCTACAAAAGGGTGAGTGTTTTTTTTTTTTTTTTTTTTGAGAGAGAGAGAAGGAAAGAGAGGGGATATTTGTGTCCTTACATGTCGTTGGCGTGTATACACTTTGCAATGAGTAAATTCACGTGAAAGTGCCGAGACGGTGAAAAAAGGGCAGCTCACAGCTCAATGTGGATTCGATCGAGGCAACTGTATATACCCCTGCAGCCACAAACTTTTCAAAATGATGAGTCAGACGCTACCGGAGATGGCTAATGGGAAGGGGGGCAAAACCCTCAAAGAGATCAGAGCGGGAGGCTTTCTCTTAATTACTAGGCCCACACCGATGAAAGGCCATTCGAATATTTTGTTTTTGCTGTTGCTTTTTCTACACCAACTTCAAATATATATTTGGCTTCAGTATTTGATGAAAGGAAAAAATGTTATGTTCACCCCCCTCGAACGAAACGAAAAGTTGTACAATGTATATATATGTACGCAAGTGCACGAGGAAAGGACGATGTACATAGGGTTAGCGTGTATCTAAAAGCGCCGATGGGTGTACAGGCACTGTGTGTAATATATATGTATATATGTATACGATACCGAACTCGCCGCAGGCCGAGGTGATCGAGGGCAAGCTGTTCGAGACGTTTCTCAAGCTGACCGACGTTAACGTGAGAAAGAGCTTGCGCAGCCTCAGGGAGAAACCAGACAAGAACAGGTGGATAAGCACCGGGACGACCGTCAACGCCTTTTACAGCGCCATACTCAACTCCGTCAGTGAGTACAATATTCGATATATATACAGGTGTATACACGCGACGAGGAAACCTTGATCTCTCCCCGCTTACCGCGAAACCACTTTCAAACTTCGGCTTTTCGATGATGCCCAAGTGCTTTGGGGTCGGTGTGCTTGAATTCTTTCGCGGAGCCCTTGGCTTAATTTTTAATTCCGTCGACAATTCGATGTGCCCCGATTTATATATAAAAAATTCAAGTGGCTGCGCCTGTCGTCAAAGTTTTTGGAGGTACAAAAGTATATGGAAAGGTGACGGTACGCCATTTTTTCACTTTGTTTTTTATTTATCGATTTGACGGTCGCTGGTGAGCGCCCCCCGTACAAAGCTTACACCCAGAGGGTGAGACGAAAAAAAAAAAAAAAAAAAAATCTCGAGAAAACCCGAGAACACACAGAAGAAAGGGAAGGTTTAATCGAGACAATCATATTTTCCAGCCTTCCCGGCCGGGATTCTCCATCCTCCCTTCTACGGTAATGGACTCGAGTAAGTATGGCACAAATGCACACAGCTTTCACATACACACCTGCTCCTGGATTTTTAATGTTTCATCGCCAAGTCAAAAATTCCGTACACGCCGAGTACGTACAAAAGAAAGTCAGTCCCTGTAGAGTATGACGTACATAAAGCTCGTACACCCTCCGGGGGGCGGGGGGAGAACTTGAGGAATTCTCTGAAGCGAAATTTCATTCCTGAAATTCCTCGAGTTATTCCTGCGCCGGATGTATTGTGCTGATTCTCTTTCCCCTCTGTATTTACGTCTTTATTTATTCCTTTCTGGGGACACTGAAATTTTCATCCCCTGCTTCCTTGGACGCGACTCCGGGCCGCTGTCACGGAAGCGTATCTGATCCTTTGTTAATTATTCATACATACACTTACGGGACGAGTTTTGGCCATTTGAAAAAATGTTTGAACATACCTTTCAGAAAATTCACCAGTTATGGATCCGACGTAAATCCGTGCTGCACTCGGTTGAATTTTTCAAAGACAATCCGATTGAGTCGTGTCTTTCAATAACCCATATGGTTGTTCCCTTGATATATACATTGTACGTATATAGACTTGGATGCTTTTCCCAAAAGTGCAATACATTGTTTATGTCAAAAAAGTTTTTTTTTTTAGCAAAAACGATGCAATTTTAATGAAAAAATTTGAAAGAGTCAAAGAATTTGAAGCAAATACAGTAAACTTTGATATTGAAAATGTATGATAAAGTTATCAACCAAAAAAATTTTTTTTCTCAATTATTACATCGTGAATAGTGGCGAATGAAAAAAATTTTTTAGCAAAAAAAATGCACTTTATTCGGGGTGGGGGGGGAACATTTTTTTTTTTAAAGCATTGAAAAAATTTATGATGTTTCATCAAAAACAGGCACACAATCAACGACCAGGGAAAATTCGAGTGCACTTTTTGATGAAAAATTTTAATCAAGCTCGCGTAAAAATTCTGCCAAATTTTCCACGGTTAAACTGGGAAAAAAAAAAAAAAAAAAAATCCATACACTCGCGATATAATAACCCAAATGACAATAGCAGTGTGCAGCGCTTGCAGCTTCGTGCGCATGCATCACTGACGGTCACCCTATCAAAACACTCACCCACACGAACGCAGACACTCGAGAGACATCGATGATACAGCCTAATGGATATATTCTTCAATTATTCTCGCAGGTCCATAAACTACGGCGCTATGGGAGCGATAATGGGCCACGAATTAACGCACGGCTTCGACGACCAAGGTAAGTGAGTACACGTGTGCGTGTTCACGCGAGGGAGAAGAGCCATCGCTCGATTTAGCCTCACTCTATTACGCCGCTGTACGTATAATATAATACGTAGCGCACACAAGAGCCGGAATGACGCGCTTGCCTCTTAACGTTACTTGGCGTGTAACGGCCAATTTTGCTCTGAGTTATACACCATCGGGGATCGAAATTTTCACAAACCCCCCATCGCGTATACCACGGAAATCCAATCCTGCAGATATAGGGCGGTGTGGGGCAAAGAGCAGATGGGATATGATAATTATTTGAAATCGCTCGCGTGTGTTATTCAAATGTCGATCCGTCGGTTGTGGAGATCTTATCATCTCCGTTTCTCAGTTTTCTTTTTTTCTTCTTCATTTTCAGTATGTTCCGTTACGCTCGCAATTTGTTTGTTTCTCATTTTTACACATTACTTTGTGAGGGGGAAGAGTTTTATTCAGTTATTCAGCCGTTTTTTAATAATATGTGTGACATAAGAGAAATACACGTTTAAATGTACATAGATAATATTATGACGTTTTCGTAACTTTGTAAAAAATGTATTAATTNTAAATATGAATATCCGAATTTAATCGCAGATATAGGGAACAAATCTATAAAAAAATATATATGTATTTTTTATATCAATCCTCCTTTGTATATTAAGTGTTTGAAGAAATCTAAGAATCAACTGTGAGCGTGTCCGAATCCCAGTGATTAGGAGTATCGAATGTTTTTTATTTTTAATTAATTGTAAATATTTATTGATAAAACAGTCGCGATTCTGTGGAGTGTAAATAATAAAAGAGGCGGTTATATGCGAGCAGAAGTTAAGTTGTATGATAAAATAAACTGCAGATCTGATGCAAATTTTTGTTTGACAAACGCAAAACTGTTGGAATCTCTAAAAATATGCAGTATTAATATTAACTTTTTATTTCAAATACCGGATCTGAATAATAAGTATCGACTAATAATTTTTTTTTTATTACGTTAGTAACTTTTTTGTATTTCATGAGGCAATAATCTTATCAAGACCAACGAAATAAAGTGTAATAATTTACAATCATAATGTAAGAAAAATAAAATTGTTCGAAAAATTACAATGGTAGTTTTTAATTTCACATCGTTTATTATGGATTAAGTATTTTCAATATACAATTCTTTTGTCCAAGAAATATAAGAAGCTGGACCGTTTCTTACTCAACATTCGTCGTAAGTATCTTGATTAAAAATTACTTTACATTCTTCACTTTATTTGAAATTATTACACTAAATATCACATAGTCATAATTATTACTAACGTAGTAAAATTAATTAAATGATAGTTGAATGTTAGTAATTATATGCAAGAGCAAGATTTTTTTTACCAGGCTTCAAGCTAGTATACATGATTCACGTAAAGAATGAAAAGAAGTATGAATTCAAAATCTCTCTTTCACAATAACATCGATCTTAAAATTATTAATAAAATAATTTGATTAAAAAAAAAATTTACATTATCCTTCGTTTTAGGAAGTTGTTTTTTTCTTCTTCTTCTTCATCATCACAGCTGTACCCGTAGTATTTTTGGAAATTTTTTGTTTTTTAGTTGATACGCCTGTATTTTCCACTCGGTTTTTTCTTTTATTGTTATTTAAAGTGACCGTTTTCTTCTTTTTAATCTTTTTAATAGGTTCACTGGAAGCAGTTCGTTTCTTATTTTCCACTTGTTTTGGTAAGTCAACCTTCAATTTTTTTGGTTGCAATACATTTTCGGTATTGTTATTGTTTTCCAATGATTTACGTTTATTTTTTCTATTTCGTTTGTTTTTGACCAGTTTCGTGTCTTCCTCTTCTATAATCACATGCTGTCTTAATCTTGATTTGTCAGGATTCTTGGCAACTTCTTTTTCTACTTCTACAACTTCAGACTTTTTAACTTTCAGGTATGGACAAGATGTCAGTGCCATACAAGAAATTCTAGCACTACAATTAACTTCATTCAACAATGTGAGTTTATCTTTTTCAAATGACCATACTTTTATTTCACCTGAACTCGAAGCAGAGACCAATAACTCTCCATTACAGGCTAAACATTTTACTCTAGCAGAGTGGGCTTGGAATTCAATTTTAGTTTCATTTTTTAGATCAAAAATGCAGATTTTCCCATCAGCTAAGCCAATAGCAATGAACTCATCATTGAGATACTCGACAGAAGCTACTTTAGTCTCAAAGTCTATTTCCTTTTCGATTCCTGCTGTTTCCACTGAATAAATATCTATTTTGTTATTGGCAGCAATCAAGTAGCTGACACCGCTGGGACTCCATTTCAAAACACTGATATTTTTGGCATCCACTTTCCATCTGGGTACTAAATTTGTAGCATAAGCTTGTCTACCTTTAACCAGATTCCATGTTCTCAAGACTCCATCGTGACCAGTTGTGAGGGCAATTTTTCCCGTGGGATGGATAGCCAAGGTGTCAACTGACGAACCTTTGTGAGGCTTTAGCCAATGTTTCTCAAGTTGCCAATTACCACATCTAACAATTCCAATACTTCCATCACTGCTGGCCGTCATTATGTGCGACCCATCAGGGGTGAAGGAAATGCTGTTGATTGTATCTGTTACGAAAATACAAGTTATTACTAAATGACTGAAAATGTTTGTTATTACAATTGACAAATGAAACTGAACTCATAACTAACCATTGTGATGCACTAGTTTGCCACTTTCAGCTCTGCTGCGCAGATCATACAAGCAAACTGTGTCATCTGCAGCTGCAGAGGCCAAGTAGTGCTTTGAACTGGCCACGCTTCTGATGCTAGCAAGATGACTGTGCATAGCGAAACTCTGCTCCATTTTGTACTTCTATAAAAATCAAAACAATAACGGTTTCGTTATCAACAACATTGCAACTACTTGTGCATAATTTTAATGACTATCAAAATTAACTAAGACCACATCGGCAAAAAAGTGCAAAACATACAGTTATTCAATGATTTTAATACCAATATAGGACAAAAATAAATATTGCTAAAATAAGAAGGGAATACCGCACATGCCGAAGGATAACCTCAATACCGAAGATAACTCCCGGTAAACATTGTACTTACGTTGACGACATCGTCGACCGTGTAACCGAGTAGGAACTGCTCGTAAGTTCCAACCACCACCTCCAAATTCGGCGACATCCCGGATTTTCAACTTTGCACTCAATACGTTTTAAAAAATCACACACGTTTTCTAACGAAAGTAATGCGCTCTCAAGTGTGTCAACAACGTACATATGTTATATATAAACCTATAGCGCGGAAATGACACTAGGTTCGTTCAAGCCCCCCCTTGGTTCGGTTCGGTTCGGTCGGTTTTTTGGTCCTAGTACCGACCGAACCGAACAACGCATCATTTCCGAACGGAGCCACTATTTTAATTCGAAAACCGCGAAATTTGAATGTTCTGAGTTTTTATAATAAATAAGAAGCATGAACACAAAAAAATGACGATAACTGTGTTCAGTAATTATTTGTATCATAGTTATTACTCTTTTATTTTGTTACCTTACAGTTGAAGCTGTTACTTGTGTTTTAATCTTATAAATAGTTATTAGTATTTGAATTTTGCGGTTTTCGAATTAAGATATTTAAGATACGCGAATGTACCTTGATTCGCAAAGCACGAAGTTTGAATTCTTGAATTAATTTATCGTATTAAAACACGAGGAACAATCATAACCATAAAATAAAAATATAACAATAAACAACCATCATATTAACAACTATTGAACAATGTTGAAATCATATTTTATGTTTGTCATAAAAACATTTGAGACTTCAAACTTCGCGATTTGCGAATCAAGGTACGGCGAGTGTACAATTTAGCAAGGAACAAAATTCTCCAGTAAAACACTGATTCTTTTGTTCACATAACAATCATCGACGCTTTTGCGGAGTGTAATATTAACAAACAGCTCTTATCTCTAGCGGCAACGCGATAATATGTATACCACAAGAGCTCCGTACCTACTTTCAGTACACGCAACGATTTCTGATGAAAAAAATAAACCGACGCATTTAAACACAGTGCGTCGCTACATACTTACGTCAAAAAATAATACTTTCACCAACAAAAGAGAGCTTCAGCGCTTGACATTCGCACATTTTACTTTCCGTTGTACACAAGTATAAGTACACAGAGCGCTATCCGAGAATACCTTCAAGGTATACTTATATTAGGTGATGTATGATGTGTGCGCTGTTTACCCAACGATGGATGAGCGCCCCAACTCCGCGGAGTAATTGTACGAGATAAGTTTGAGAAGAAGAGACCGGCCGCTGCTCCGCTTATTGCACTACTGGCATTGATGTAAGAGCTCGCTTCCGTGGGTATACACTTATCTCGTCAACGTTGCATTCTCTTGGGTATATTATTTTTCGAAGCTGATTTTTTTTTTGATTTAAAAGTTTTTTATTGTCAGAGGAAAGATGGAAGGGATGGAAATTACCGAGATCGATGTCAAGGACGTGAGGTTCCCAACTTCCTTGAAATTTGATGGGAGTGATGCCATGGTAAGGGAATATGCTATACACACTTATGCAGCTTATTACAGGTATAACGATACGTTAAAGGGTTTTCTTTCAATTTCAATTCGTCTCACGTTAATGCATTTGTGTTGCTGTACTTAGAACAAAGTTATATTTCAAAAAAATTCATGACGTATTCGTGTTTATGTCTGGTTAGATGATCTTACATCAAGATCTGATCATAACTGTACTACAGTCGCAAAAACATAAATGTACTGTCGTGAGATTTCTTCGTTTATTTGTATTCTGTTGCGTCAAAGCCTCGAATTTTCGTTTATAATGTAAATCCTTCACTAACTGGGCACAATTTTTTCTGTTTCACGTGTCAAATGCACACCCCAAAACAGCACACCGATCCCGACTATTCCTGCGCTTACGTTACAATAAAAACTAATAGAGGCATCGAGGGATACGGACTGACCTTCACTTTGGGAAGAGGAACTGAAATCGGTAAGAGTTTGAATGAACTGGTGGATTATATAACACGTGATAACCACTGTTGATCGTTTCACATAGTCGTTCTCGCCTGCAAAACGATATCGAGGCTGATCGTAGGCACCAAAGTCCAAGACGTGTTCAACGGCTTTGCCTCTTTCTGGAGGAAAATCACGAGCGAGTCTCAGCTGCGATGGGTGAGTTTTATACAATGCATACTCGTGAAAAAAATAAACTGAATGTCAAATGCGTTAATATTTATGAAAGATCGGCCCGGAAAAGGGAGTGACCCATTTGGCCACAGCCGCCGTGGTCAACGCTCTCTGGGACTTGTGGGCGCGCATTGAGAAAAAACCATTGTGGAGACTGCTGGTCGATCTCACCCCCGAGCAACTGGTCTCCACGATAGACTTTCGATACATGTGAGAGTGAAAAAAAAAAAAAAAAAAAAAAAAAACAACAACAATAAATACATAAAGCATTTCATTCTGTTACGTAGCACTGACGTGATCACGAGGCAAGAGGCGATCGAGATCCTCAAGAGCCAGAAATCGGCAAGGGCCTCTCGCACGGCAAGTCTCGTGGAAAACGGCTTACCGGCTTACACGACCCAAGTAGGCTGGATGGGCTACAGCGACGACAAGGTCCGTGAGCTCTGTGAAAAATATCAACAGCTCGGCTTCGACACCTTCAAGGCCAAGGTGGGCCAAAATCTTGAGGACGACGTGCGCAGGTGCCAGGTGATCCGCGAGTGCATCGGCGATGACAAGAGACTCATGCTGGACGCTAACCAGGTGTGGGAGGTGGAGGAAGCTGTCGAGTGGATGAAGAGTCTGGCTCGCTTCAAGCCAACGTGGATCGAGGAGCCCACCAGCCCGGATGACGTTCTCGGACATGCAAGGATCGCCAAAGAGCTCCGGCCCTTGGGAATCGGGGTGGCGACTGGTGAAATGTGCGCTAATCGAGTTATCTTCAAGCAGCTGCTGCAAGCTCGGGCGATCGATTACTGTCAGATTGACTCGGCGAGGATCGGCGGTGTCAACGAGATACTTGCTGTTTACTTGATGGCCAAGAAACTCAATGGTAAGTTATTCGATGTGACGCGCTAGTTTTGGAGCATCGTCTTTATTCGCTTTTGTTAATAACAACAAACTTTTTAATAACAAAGGTATATAAATTTGACTGATTTTGCGGGTGCAAAGTTCCTGTAAAAAAATATAACAATCGGCGATCAACAATAACAGCGATTAGCTTGTGTATACGCTTTTTTCCCTTAATATTTACAATTGGCCATAGATGGAAGTTAGTTGTACAGAAAACTTAATTAATACACATGGTGGTTAAATGACTTCCGCAGTACCTGTCTGCCCTCATGCTGGAGGAGTGGGTTTGTGCGAGATGGTGCAGCATCTGCAGATGTGGGACTTTGTAAGTCTCAGTGGGACCACGGAAAATCGAATTATCGAGTATGTCGACCAACAGCACGAGCACTTTGAGGATCCCGTGACGATTAAAAATGCTCACTACATGCCACCAAGCGTTCCCGGGTATTCCACAAAAATCAAGGACGCAAGCTTGACGAACTACGCTTATCCTGAGGGTAAAGAGTGGCAACGCATGTTTGATATCGGCATTTTTCCCAGGCCTTCTGCTAACTAAATGTAAAATTTTGTTCTGCAATGAATTATTGTCGTGTTAATTTTAATTCTTCACAGTTCTTTGTAAGATTTTTATCATACAACTGGTACGTTATAAATTTTTACCTTATTTCCTGCACCATCGGTTTGTGTTTGGCAAATGATTATTTGTACTTTTGCATTGAAAATTCAATATTTACTAGTCTCCGTGAAACGTGATTTCACATAATCCGTCTGTTCACATGAGTGGATTACAAAAATGTTCGCCTTGTCCATCTTACATAAATAATTATAAGATTTTACTTACACTAACAAACCACGTGGAATTAGGTTTAAACATCATATTCTTGATGAAACTCATATTTTCCACGGGGCAAATAACGTGTAGATGCAAATGATTCACCGTTGTAAACGGAGGCCAGTGAAAACCAGTTCTTGTAGAGTTTTTATCTAGTTGGAGCTGGTCGACAATGATATCGATCGTAGCAACCATTTTGTCAACTATGAGTTTGTTGAAATAAAAAAAAACAAGAATAGCCAATCCACGTACTCAAATTACATAGTCAGTCGATTTACATAAATCTGCACTTACACAATTCTTCCTGCTCTTTCTGCAAGGTTTTAGCATTGACGATATGCGTTTTGGGGACTATGAGGTAATGGTGATCCGATGCTGGGTGAATATCTTTGATGCAGGCAATGTCATTATCCTTAAATAAGAAAGACATGATACGTAAACTCCCAAGGACCAAAGCAACAATGACGTTCATACATAAACATCAAGCATTGGTGAAAGGGTAAAAATTAATTGTCCCACCTCGTAAATGCAATCTCCAGGCTCTTCTTTCCTTATAATCTTACAGAAAACGCAGTTTGCCTGGTAATTATCAACTCCTGTCATTTTATTTGTTACTGAGATGTGATCCAGTGCAGTGAGTCGATTGATATGTTACCAAGCGCAACGTCAAAGTGTCAAACCCACAGCTTACTAACACACGTTGTCTGCTTTAGGCCGCGGCCACATAGACACGTCCGCAGGTAGGCGGCCGACTTTTTGAAAAAAGTTGAGAAGAAAAATACTACTAGATGGCGCTGATCTACATTTTTTTTTCTTCGTTATGTGATTGCGTCTTTACATTTTACATTTCCGGTGCTGATGGCATAATGGCAAAGTTTGCGTTTGCGGAACAAGAAGTATATATTTGTTTGTAAGTTCATTTGAAATTGGCAGCAAAGTACTGTATAGGCACGGGTTTTCGCGGACGTCAAACGCGTGTGCGGACGCGCTATGTGGCCGCAGCCTAATACACAAGACTCCTTTTACTCGGTTGGCAAGCACGGGCTCTTCTATTTCGCCTCTTTCGAAATATTTAAGCGATGTAATCGGATTAATTAACGCGTTTATTCGGTAAGGCTTTGATATTTTAATTACATCAAAGCGTAAGGAGCCGATTGCCGAAGAAGACACTTGGTTTGATGAAAAATTGACCTGTAAAGGATTAAATAACAAACAAACATCATACAGTTGCATTAATTTTTAATTTAAAATATATAAACTGTACATGTATTTATAGGATATATATATATTTTGAGTTTTTTTTTTTTTTGTTCATATATTTTTGCATGTGATGTGGTTTTTTTTTGTTTCACACAATGAAATGATTTCGCGCTAAGTGGTACTTTTATAAGCGCGTGATGTATGTACCTTTTATCTTATTAATTTTTGTTCGGACACAATTAATTGTTTAAATAATTAATTTTGCCTTCATACCGCTTTTTTTTTTAATTGAGTCACAGAACAGCAAAGTATATTATCATCTTTCATGGTTTACCAATTCACAACAGAGTTGCGTTTTGAAACATTTTATGTTAATCATATTCGCCAGTAGACATTCTTTTTTTTATATACCTATACTTCCTACCGCCATCAGAGTAAACAAAACACTACCACGTGTAACGTGTCGTCAATGATTATTCACGCTATATTGTTAATCGCGATTAATTTTTGTTGTCAATAAAAATCGTCTTGTTTTTTTTTTTTCGCTCTACTTACAAGGAAAATTTATCCCATATCTGATCTCGTTAATTTTACCTCGCCTCCATAAAATCAAGATTATCATCTAATAGTACGTATTTTGCACTGTTCCACTTTGATTATACTTATCTTTTTTAATTATTATTATTTTTTTTGTTTTATCAGTTACACTTTTTCCTTCAAAAATAGAAAAACGCAAATATGAAACAAAATCTTTTAGGTTTATTTGGTTCCTTCATTGTCACCTCTCGCTTTACTATTTAATAATTTACATAGATCTTAAGTAACGTAATGAAAGAAAAACAAAAGAAAAATTCGTAATTGTGCCTCCCTCCTCTCATAGTAGTAAGCACTTACAGTACCAATCGCAATAACATTTACCTTTCTACTTGCTTTTTTTCGTTACAAACTAAAGCTTAGAAATGCGTGTTTTTATTTTCTTAAAACAAAAACGGATTTAAAAAAACGAACATAAGCGTGATGATCTCTTTCTCTTAAAAACTATCAAAATCGTGGAAGTACTTTTGNAAATCGTTAGTAATTCATATTAGATAAAATGTAAATATTTTGAAGAAAAAAAAAACAAGAAAAAAAAAACAAAAAAAAACAAACAAAAAAAAAAGTGACTCAAAAGAATGTTACGCTGTAATTACGAGTGTGTTGATTCATTGAAATTGAACAGAAATTATGTCTGGTTGATAAAGCTGACGGTATCGGAAAAAAATACATTAAAATGATATTAAGCACGTATCTGCTGTCAAGACTCTCATTGTTTATTAATAAACTTCTAAGAAGTTGTCACTTGTTTTCATTAGATACAGCGTAGAAATGTCGAAAAAAAATTAAAACTACATTACACTACGATAACGTATGTATGCTTCATTAAAATTGTATTAAAGTACACTTAGGTATACTTTTATCAGATGAAGCGTAGAAATTTCTAAAAAAACTTAATTAAAACAATGTCTAGTGCATTTCCGGAGTAAAAACACGTATCGATGATTTAACAATTCATTTGAAATACTTTTCATTGCAAAGATTTAGCGATTCTATACGTTTATCACCGCTATATATACAGGAAAAATTAGTATAGAATTTTATATTAAATTAGATTTCATTTTTAAAGTACAATGTGTATAATGTACATGAGAAAATCCACAAAAAGATCCCGTTCTAGTCCCCCATATTATTAAAAAAAAAATTTTTTTTTGAGATCCAGTTTCTCTACTATTCCAATATTTTTCGATACTCGCTCGTACACAGGTATACTCTGTAACCAGACTTCGTATGCATCCTTCTTTGCCATTTTCCTTATTGGAGCACATTAAACTCGTACCCCCCAAAATGGGAACATCGATACTCACGTGTGTATATACAACACCCTTGGTGCCAACCCCTTTCCCGTAACGAAAAAAAAAAAAAAAAGACGGTAGGAGGGGCGAGGGTAATTGCATTCCCTCGTAGTATACCCAACGAAATGCACGACACAAACAGCGAAAATCACAACAACGCAGCCGAGGCCCGGGGTAAATTCCAAGCGCTCCGTGTGCGCTTTCCCTCATGAAAATTTCACGAGTTTTCGCACAGCAACAGCGTGTCTGCACGCGTGAAGCACCCCCCGTCCCACCCTTTTCTCTCTCTTTCCCTCCCCGTACCAGCGACTTGTTAATTATCTACTGTGGGCGGACGAAGGGTAGGATGCAAATTTTCCCTCTCGAGGGAGAAAAGAACGGGAGAAAGGAGGGGGCTCCTTAATCTTATGCAAAGTGGCCGTGTAATGCGAGCTATTCTCCGCGGCTGCTTGTGCGAGCGCACTGTTTGGGGTGTTTAAGTCGAGAAAAAGAAAGAAGAAGAAAAAGAGAAAAAGAAACCGAGTGTTACTACCCCCCCCCCTTTTTTTGTCCTTCTTTTGTTTCGGCGAGGGAAAATCGTTCAAATCTGAGGTGATCTTGTCGTTCGGTGTTGCAGGCAGGAGATACGACGAGAACGGGAATCTGCGCCAGTGGTGGAGCGACGAGACGCTCAAGCACTACCAGAGCAAAGTCGAGTGCATCATCAAACAGTACGGCAGTTACCGTCTCCCCGAGCTAGGTAACAATTTCACGGTGAGTGCTTACCGCCCCCTACCTTACGCCCCAACCCTCCGTTTTATGTGTATATATTTACTTTCGGACTCGGGGAAAATTGCTTTTTCAAATAATTTGCGCACTGCCGCGTGGTTTTTTTCAAAAGTCTCTACGTATGCGTGTCATTTTCTCCACGACCCCTACCTTCCTACGCGCTTTTTTCCACCAAAAACGTCCTCGCAGCTTTACCCTCCAACTATCCACATATACATATATCGGACTATTTTTTTTATTGAGTACTGTACATACACCGTAACAAGGAGGATTTCCATCAAAAATAACGCACTATATACTTACAGAAGCAAACTTTATCGTTCAAGCGTTTGAAAATTTTCTAAAAACAATCGAGCCGAAGAGGATACTCTATTGTTTGGGTTTGATGTTTTTCCGCGCATCTGTCGTTTTTTTTTTTCGAAGATGAAAACGTTTCGTCAACACAAAGGGGGGCTCTCGTGTCGTATAATGTTATCGTATGTAGAGCAAGGGGTCAGGTGTACTCGGCCGAGCGAGGCTTTTCGTTATTCATACGCGTTACGGGAGTGGTTTTGCTCGACGTATATGACTTGCTTGTTGTTTGTCGCCGCTCTTACGATTTAGCGATCGACTTCGTTTCGCGAGTCGTTAATTTTTTTTTTTTTTTTTTTTTTCAAGCCTCCCGTAAGGATTTCAGGGAGTTCGAGTCGATGATGAACAGTCGTCGTAAAACAGTGCACCCAACTCCTCTACGCACACGTATACAGAGAAAAAGATGTATGAGCTTCAATGGCACGCGCTGATGCATCGGTTTCCAATTACCGACGATAAAACGGCGATCGCTCCGTAATTCTTTAATTGAACCTTATGTGTTTTTTTTTTTTTTGTTGTTTTTTTTTTCTCTTGCTCCCCTTCCGACACATAACGCAAGTGCCGCCGACGTTTCTCCGAGCGATACATCAAACGAAGGTATATACAACACTGCACTTATTGCTGCGGGAACAAAAAAATCCTCGAGCGCCCCCTTGAAAGATCCCCCGGTACATACACACATCGGATTGTCCGTGTAATATATTACTTGCTGTGTTTTTCCGCAAGGAATTTTCCTCCCCCGCGCGTCGTGGATACAAATACATTTTTTTTTTTTGTTTGTTTGAAAAATCGGGTTACAGGGTGCATGAGGAAAGGCGGTGGAGGAGGAATCACGCGTAGCTCGATATTCAATTTTCTACGGGAGTCTGAATTTCAAAGCAGCTTTGCTCTGGGCGTTATACCCCCTTTTTTTTCAGAAAATAAGATCGATGCGCGGATACGTATAGGAATCTTCGAACGTGTGGTCTACTTACTTTCGCGCGTCGATGAATCAATTTTCGAAACAATTTGCCTGTAGGCCTTTTTTGATCTCCTCCCCATCTGCTCCGACTTTTTCCCTCCTCGACGGGAATATCGCTACTATTTTTTTTTTATTTTATAAATCGTTCGCTATATGTTTCTGAACAGGAAAGAAAGAAAAAAAAAAAAAATACAATTCCAGGATTTGCTCGCGGAAATTTTCGAAAAGTCAAACGGAAGAGAAAACCCCTTCTCCACCCGCATTACGGGAAAGAGCTAACGTTTCGAGCGCACTAAATTACACAAAGTACATATATACATCTCAAACTCGTTCGCATGAATGGATTAAAAAGTTGCCCTCATCTCTACACGTTATATATATGCACGAAGGAACAAAACCTCGCACGTGGCCATGCATGTACGTGGGGGGCTTTCAATATTATTGCCGTGAGTTCGACGTGACGATTTTCACGCGCATAGTCGACCTATAAACCTAATGGGTTTCTACTGGTCGGGAGGGGGGGGGGAGTGTTTTATCGCCCACTTTCAATTCGAAAGTCCATTATGATAACCACATATAAGTAGTGGGGCGAAGGAAAAAAAAAACAACAATTGATCACCGAACGAGAAAAGACCACGGGTGCGGGGAGAGCCACCTGTATTTTGGAAAATATGAAAAAGAACAATGGTATTTTACGCTTTGAAAAAGTTGCAGTCACCTCCCCCCCATCAATTATTTGTAGATTTATTCAATTTTTATTTCTGTTTTTTTTTCAACATGATTTTTTGCTAGAATTGAGATGAATTTCTTTACAGCAAAAACAAACAAAAAAAAACAATTATTGAAACAGTATTTAGGTAAAAAAAAAAAAAAAACGAAAAAACTTTGAGAAATAAAACGTGCAAGAAAAAAAGAAATGTTCATTCGGAATGTTTTAAAAATCCATAAAATCATCGCGCCCGAGTGAGTCCGAAATCGAAGGCAATCTAAAAGCACAGTATCGTACAATATGTACATGTGCACGCAAGCGAAACAACGGCAATCGAAAAGTACAAAACTTACAACAGCCGAGCGTAATATAATAAGCTTTTCCCGGAAACCATTTCCCCCCCCCTACCCTTTTCATCCCATGGCCCAGCATCCGCGAGCAAGTATGTATACATAACAAGGAGACACAGCACGGAGGAATCAATTCCCTTTCGATGCGCGTAGAGCGAGAGGGCGAACAGAGGGAGAAAGTTCTCCCCCCCGAGTGTATGATATCGTTTCCCCGTTGCGCAGGTATCGCGTTCCGCTTTACATGCAAAACTAATTCGGAACCGGTTACGTGAGGGGGGAGCACCTTTATTACCCTCGACTCACGATGAACTCACCCCACCTCCCCCCGGGGGGGGGACGTAAAAATATGGTACACGTACAGTTTTGTTCGATCGCTGAGCTATCGGTTGGTTAATAATTCCCGATCGTCCGTGTTCGTTTAATCGACAGGTGAACGGTATAAACACCCAAGGTGAGAATATAGCGGACAACGGTGGTATTCGCGAGGCTTATCGGGCCTACGAGAAACTGAGGTCGCGCAGTCCAAATCAACTGGCGTTGCCTGGTCTTGTCGACTACAGTCAAGAGCAGCTCTTCTTCATTGGTTTTGCACAGGTATGTTTTTTTTTTTTTTTTTTTTTTGGTGGAAGGAGAACGACGTCTGACCAAAGACGGACCTCTTCCACTGTACCGATTCGTGGAACTTTTTTGTTTTATTCTTCAAATTACAACAAGAAAAACGGTCACTTTGATCACTGTAGCTAGATCAACTGCACCTTTTAACTTTTTATTGCATACTATGTAGTATAGTAACCATAAAACGCTCAACGGCAAGGATGCATTTTTTAGGTACACTAAAAGCGCGATAAAGAATGTTTTACTTTTTATAAACAATGATTCGCTCGACGCCTCTATACGATGTCGGACAACTTTCAAAATTTAACAAAAAAAAAGGCTGTAGAGTGCAAAACCTGTTATCCTTTCTGCATCTATTTTTTTTTTTTTTTTTTTTTTATTCTCCTCAACATTTATCGATTTTCGATCGAGTTAAAGTAGCAATTACTCGATAAACAAATAAACCAACAAAGCGTATACAAAATGTAATTTTTTGGTTAAAATGTGTACTTACCCTGATTCCCCGCAGGTCTGGTGCGGCAACAACACGAACGGTGCCCTCAAGTCGAAGCTCATCGAGGGTGTGCACGCACCAAATCACTTCCGGGTTATCGGCACTTTGTCGAACAACGCGGACTTTGCCAAAGCTTGGAAGTGCCCAATCGGTAGTCCCATGAATCCGGCCCACAAGTGCATCCTATGGTGATGATGATGATGGTGCACCTAAATTTGACAGCAGTACTTTTTTTACATTACACGTGTATCGTGAATTAAACTGTTTGTTGGCTTTTGTCCGCTTAAAAAGGGATTTGCGTGCGTGGATGCGAGAGTTAGAACTAGAGAATTTTTTTTATTTTTTTTTAAAGATGTTTGATTGGGAGCTATGTTATACATTTATTTGCCAAGTGGACGGAAGTGTACTTATATAATATGTACAGAGTCGGTGGTGACTGTCAACGTGTCAAATAGTGTTAGTGATAGGAAAACAAATTAAAATAATTTAATAATTGTAATTGTTAAGTTAAAAAAAAAAAAAAAAAAAAAAAAACCATAAATCAAAGGAGGATACTGATCGATGGAAAATTGACATAACTTGTGTGCTTTGACAATCAAACATTTTTTCGATAGAAATAGTAGGAAATTTACCATTTCTGAGTAACTTTGATATTTTTCCAGAAGACCAGAGACGTACTTATAGCGAGTTTTAATGTTTATTTTTAATTCTTTATATGTAATACTTAGGCTATTAATTATGAATATCCGAATTTAATCGCAGATATAGGGAACAAATCTATAAAAAAATATATATGTATTTTTTATATCAATCCTCCTTTGTATATTAAGTGTTTGAAGAAATCTAAGAATCAACTGTGAGCGTGTCCGAATCCCAGTGATTAGGAGTATCGAATGTTTTTTATTTTTAATTAATTGTAAATATTTATTGATAAAACAGTCGCGATTCTGTGGAGTGTAAATAATAAAAGAGGCGGTTATATGCGAGCAGAAGTTAAGTTGTATGATAAAATAAACTGCAGATCTGATGCAAATTTTTGTTTGACAAACGCAAAACTGTTGGAATCTCTAAAAATATGCAGTATTAATATTAACTTTTTATTTCAAATACCGGATCTGAATAATAAGTATCGACTAATAATTTTTTTTTTATTACGTTAGTAACTTTTTTGTATTTCATGAGGCAATAATCTTATCAAGACCAACGAAATAAAGTGTAATAATTTACAATCATAATGTAAGAAAAATAAAATTGTTCGAAAAATTACAATGGTAGTTTTTAATTTCACATCGTTTATTATGGATTAAGTATTTTCAATATACAATTCTTTTGTCCAAGAAATATAAGAAGCTGGACCGTTTCTTACTCAACATTCGTCGTAAGTATCTTGATTAAAAATTACTTTACATTCTTCACTTTATTTGAAATTATTACACTAAATATCACATAGTCATAATTATTACTAACGTAGTAAAATTAATTAAATGATAGTTGAATGTTAGTAATTATATGCAAGAGCAAGATTTTTTTTACCAGGCTTCAAGCTAGTATACATGATTCACGTAAAGAATGAAAAGAAGTATGAATTCAAAATCTCTCTTTCACAATAACATCGATCTTAAAATTATTAATAAAATAATTTGATTAAAAAAAAAATTTACATTATCCTTCGTTTTAGGAAGTTGTTTTTTTCTTCTTCTTCTTCATCATCACAGCTGTACCCGTAGTATTTTTGGAAATTTTTTGTTTTTTAGTTGATACGCCTGTATTTTCCACTCGGTTTTTTCTTTTATTGTTATTTAAAGTGACCGTTTTCTTCTTTTTAATCTTTTTAATAGGTTCACTGGAAGCAGTTCGTTTCTTATTTTCCACTTGTTTTGGTAAGTCAACCTTCAATTTTTTTGGTTGCAATACATTTTCGGTATTGTTATTGTTTTCCAATGATTTACGTTTATTTTTTCTATTTCGTTTGTTTTTGACCAGTTTCGTGTCTTCCTCTTCTATAATCACATGCTGTCTTAATCTTGATTTGTCAGGATTCTTGGCAACTTCTTTTTCTACTTCTACAACTTCAGACTTTTTAACTTTCAGGTATGGACAAGATGTCAGTGCCATACAAGAAATTCTAGCACTACAATTAACTTCATTCAACAATGTGAGTTTATCTTTTTCAAATGACCATACTTTTATTTCACCTGAACTCGAAGCAGAGACCAATAACTCTCCATTACAGGCTAAACATTTTACTCTAGCAGAGTGGGCTTGGAATTCAATTTTAGTTTCATTTTTTAGATCAAAAATGCAGATTTTCCCATCAGCTAAGCCAATAGCAATGAACTCATCATTGAGATACTCGACAGAAGCTACTTTAGTCTCAAAGTCTATTTCCTTTTCGATTCCTGCTGTTTCCACTGAATAAATATCTATTTTGTTATTGGCAGCAATCAAGTAGCTGACACCGCTGGGACTCCATTTCAAAACACTGATATTTTTGGCATCCACTTTCCATCTGGGTACTAAATTTGTAGCATAAGCTTGTCTACCTTTAACCAGATTCCATGTTCTCAAGACTCCATCGTGACCAGTTGTGAGGGCAATTTTTCCCGTGGGATGGATAGCCAAGGTGTCAACTGACGAACCTTTGTGAGGCTTTAGCCAATGTTTCTCAAGTTGCCAATTACCACATCTAACAATTCCAATACTTCCATCACTGCTGGCCGTCATTATGTGCGACCCATCAGGGGTGAAGGAAATGCTGTTGATTGTATCTGTTACGAAAATACAAGTTATTACTAAATGACTGAAAATGTTTGTTATTACAATTGACAAATGAAACTGAACTCATAACTAACCATTGTGATGCACTAGTTTGCCACTTTCAGCTCTGCTGCGCAGATCATACAAGCAAACTGTGTCATCTGCAGCTGCAGAGGCCAAGTAGTGCTTTGAACTGGCCACGCTTCTGATGCTAGCAAGATGACTGTGCATAGCGAAACTCTGCTCCATTTTGTACTTCTATAAAAATCAAAACAATAACGGTTTCGTTATCAACAACATTGCAACTACTTGTGCATAATTTTAATGACTATCAAAATTAACTAAGACCACATCGGCAAAAAAGTGCAAAACATACAGTTATTCAATGATTTTAATACCAATATAGGACAAAAATAAATATTGCTAAAATAAGAAGGGAATACCGCACATGCCGAAGGATAACCTCAATACCGAAGATAACTCCCGGTAAACATTGTACTTACGTTGACGACATCGTCGACCGTGTAACCGAGTAGGAACTGCTCGTAAGTTCCAACCACCACCTCCAAATTCGGCGACATCCCGGATTTTCAACTTTGCACTCAATACGTTTTAAAAAATCACACACGTTTTCTAACGAAAGTAATGCGCTCTCAAGTGTGTCAACAACGTACATATGTTATATATAAACCTATAGCGCGGAAATGACACTAGGTTCGTTCAAGCCCCCCCTTGGTTCGGTTCGGTTCGGTCGGTTTTTTGGTCCTAGTACCGACCGAACCGAACAACGCATCATTTCCGAACGGAGCCACTATTTTAATTCGAAAACCGCGAAATTTGAATGTTCTGAGTGTTTCATAATAAATAAGAAGCATGAACACACAAAAATGGCGATAACTGTGTTCAGTAATTATTTGTATCATAGTTATTACTCTTTTATTTTGTTACCTTACAGTTGAAGCTGTTACTTGTGTTTTAATCTTATAAATAGTTATTAGTATTTGAATTTTGCGGTTTTCGAATTAAGATATTTAAGATACGCGAATGTACCTTGATTCGCAAAGCACGAAGTTTGAATTCTTGAATTAATTTATCGTATTAAAACACGAGGAACAATCATAACCATAAAATAAAAATATAACAATAAACAACCATCATATTAACAACTATTGAACAATGTTGAAATCATATTTTATGTTTGTCATAAAAACATTTGAGACTTCAAACTTCGCGATTTGCGAATCAAGGTACGGCGAGTGTACAATTTAGCAAGGAACAAAATTCTCCAGTAAAACACTGATTCTTTTGTTCACATAACAATCATCGACGCTTTTGCGGAGTGTAATATTAACAAACAGCTCTTATCTCTAGCGGCAACGCGATAATATGTATACCACAAGAGCTCCGTACCTACTTTCAGTACACGCAACGATTTCTGATGAAAAAAATAAACCGACGCATTTAAACACAGTGCGTCGCTACATACTTACGTCAAAAAATAATACTTTCACCAACAAAAGAGAGCTTCAGCGCTTGACATTCGCACATTTTACTTTCCGTTGTACACAAGTATAAGTACACAGAGCGCTATCCGAGAATACCTTCAAGGTATACTTATATTAGGTGATGTATGATGTGTGCGCTGTTTACCCAACGATGGATGAGCGCCCCAACTCCGCGGAGTAATTGTACGAGATAAGTTTGAGAAGAAGAGACCGGCCGCTGCTCCGCTTATTGCACTACTGGCATTGATGTAAGAGCTCGCTTCCGTGGGTATACACTTATCTCGTCAACGTTGCATTCTCTTGGGTATATTATTTTTCGAAGCTGATTTTTTTTTTGATTTAAAAGTTTTTTATTGTCAGAGGAAAGATGGAAGGGATGGAAATTACCGAGATCGATGTCAAGGACGTGAGGTTCCCAACTTCCTTGAAATTTGATGGGAGTGATGCCATGGTAAGGGAATATGCTATACACACTTATGCAGCTTATTACAGGTATAACGATACGTTAAAGGGTTTTCTTTCAATTTCAATTCGTCTCACGTTAATGCATTTGTGTTGCTGTACTTAGAACAAAGTTATATTTCAAAAAAATTCATGACGTATTCGTGTTTATGTCTGGTTAGATGATCTTACATCAAGATCTGATCATAACTGTACTACAGTCGCAAAAACATAAATGTACTGTCGTGAGATTTCTTCGTTTATTTGTATTCTGTTGCGTCAAAGCCTCGAATTTTCGTTTATAATGTAAATCCTTCACTAACTGGGCACAATTTTTTCTGTTTCACGTGTCAAATGCACACCCCAAAACAGCACACCGATCCCGACTATTCCTGCGCTTACGTTACAATAAAAACTAATAGAGGCATCGAGGGATACGGACTGACCTTCACTTTGGGAAGAGGAACTGAAATCGGTAAGAGTTTGAATGAACTGGTGGATTATATAACACGTGATAACCACTGTTGATCGTTTCACATAGTCGTTCTCGCCTGCAAAACGATATCGAGGCTGATCGTAGGCACCAAAGTCCAAGACGTGTTCAACGGCTTTGCCTCTTTCTGGAGGAAAATCACGAGCGAGTCTCAGCTGCGATGGGTGAGTTTTATACAATGCATACTCGTGAAAAAAATAAACTGAATGTCAAATGCGTTAATATTTATGAAAGATCGGCCCGGAAAAGGGAGTGACCCATTTGGCCACAGCCGCCGTGGTCAACGCTCTCTGGGACTTGTGGGCGCGCATTGAGAAAAAACCATTGTGGAGACTGCTGGTCGATCTCACCCCCGAGCAACTGGTCTCCACGATAGACTTTCGATACATGTGAGAGTGAAAAAAAAAAAAAAAAAAAAAAAAAAAAANTTAATAAAAAGTCAGCAACGTCGGATAAGAAATCCAATAAACGAAAAAATATTAATAATTATGATAATGATATAATGATAAAAAATTAAGAAAACGCGACACGGATTCAATGTACGTGATATTGTTATTTTCGCCTTACTCTGCACAGCATCGTTTTTTAACACCGACTCTCGTTATAATACTGTAGGATCGCAAGGTAATCTCGCGATCGCTCAGTCTATCATACACATGTATATTTATATTTCAATAGTCTTCCGCATGCACGTGCAACCGCCTCACTGATGCTTCTTTCATCGGCATAAGGTATAAGCAAAAAATCTTACACACGCGCGCACGCGCTCCAGTAAAAATCCTTCTTTCCTGTTCTCACTCCCTTTTAGTATGCCATCAGAGGCCTCGTAACTCTTTGACAACATTAATTGCCAAGTGATCCTCATTTACTAGACCATGCCGCGGTGAAGGCGATCTAGTAAAGAGGCAAGTTTCAGCTGCCCTGGTAAGGCATCTGGTCGGGAAGGGAGGACGAGTGATTCTGGGTGGGACTTTGGTGGAAGTGCTGCGACGAGCCGTCCTGCGACATGTCGTTGACCACCGGCTCCTCGTACTTGCCCCGCTTGAAGCGCCCGTACAGCGACGAGTACGGCAGATTATAGTGTATCGCCGCTTGATTAATGCTCATGTGTCCCAGTCTGAAAAAAAATTGACAGTCAATCGGTTGAATAACGATTGAATGAGAAAAGGAAGTGGAAAAAAAAAGAAAGTATACCTAACAGCCTCGAGAGCCTCGGTCATGGCGTCCTCGCTCCAGGGCGTAGGATTGCTCCTACTGAGCTCAATACCCTCCCTCTTGCACCTGCCGTATAGCGTGCCCGTGGGTATGCCAAACTCGGTCGAGGCGCGCTGCACCGAGGTCTGTCCGGAGCGTATGGCCTCGAGCGCGCGGTCTAGATCAGCCGGCGTCCAGGTAGTTGGGCTCGCGTTGAACGGCGCCGCCAACCTAATGCCCTCTCGCCTCGCTATTTTGTACAGGGTGCTCGAGGGTATGCCGAACGCCTTCGAGGCCTTGTTGGCCGATATGGTACCCGTACGTAGGGCGTCCAGGGCGTTGTTCAGGCTCTCGTCGCTCCACGACTTGGTCGGGCCGTCCTTTTTGGGCGTGTCGATACCCAACCGGTGCGCCCGCTGCCAGAGAGTCGTCGATGGTATGCCAAACGTCGCTGCAATCAATAAGATGTTGTAACGACCTATACATTCAGTATATGATTCTCGATAAATGAAATAAACACGAACCAGAGGCCTTGGTGAGGCTCATGTCGTGATTTCTGAGGGCATCGAGGGCTGCCTCCATGTCCTCCTGGGTCCACGACTTGGAGCCGTGATGGTGTCCGCCCGACTGGCCGGAGTGACTGCGCGAGTTGTTTTCACCCGAGTCGGAGTGCACCGAGCTGCTCGAGGGCATGAGACCGAGGAGCTCGGGTGTTATCATCATCATGTTGTCGTCCGCGTTTTTCGAGCTCACGCTCGCACGGTCGGACATGTGGCTGTCGATGTCTATCGTGTCCGACGAGTCCATCGTGTGCAACGTCTCGAACTTTATCTTCACGCTGTCGCAGCTCTGGATGTCTGGAAAATACGCGCGTGCTTACATGAGCTTTTTTTGCTTCGCACACTAGAGTATGTGTACCCAAGCCTCGTTGATCGTTGTCAACGCAAGTGATTAATATGACATGGGGAAAACAAGATAATCTGTACATAGCGTACCCAAGAAACGGAACTAAAATATCAATAAAGTGGAAAAGCGCATCGTGAAAACCCATATATACGTATAGCAATAATAACACAAGGCGCGGCGTCGGTAGCAAAGCCGAAGAAGAAGGAAGTAGGAGGAGGTAAAGGAAGAGAAAAAAAAAAAAAAAAAAAAAAAAGAGAGGTCGACCGGTCGCTTATTAGTCCGGGAAGGAAATCAAAATAATTGGCCTAATCGGGCTCTTAACTGCTCGTGATTAGATTCGCGCCGGAGTTTTGCTCGCTCGCCCAGAGTAAAGTCTCTCTCCCGTTTGTATACTTGTTGTGCTGATGCATTAGCATAAAACACCGTATGATTTGGGTGTTGGTCAAGTTTCGATCACGTTCACAGTAAAATGAGAAAAAAAAAAAAAAGAAGATTTTACCAGCCGTCTGATGCTCGGCGTCCCTGAGGTGGGTAATGGTCGTACCAACGAGGGTCGCACTGGGCGGCGTTGGCTGCGTCTCGGGCGGCAAATCGACCTCAGCTGGATCCGGATGATGGCCGTAATGGCCGAGACCTGTGTGACAGAACATGTCGTCACCTAACATTAAAAACATGCCGACCAATTGTCCCTGAGTCATGAATAGCCAGTAAAATCGCTCCGCGCCCCCTTATTCGAAACATTGTACATAAATTTGAGAACAACATCCATCAACAACAATAACAAGAAAAACACGTAGTTTCCAATAAAAGGCGCGGAGCGCTGAATTCCCCGTTAATCCGAACTAACCGTTGTTATTAGTCGCCGCGGGGGTATTGTTGTTGTTGGCGACAGGCCCGTTGCTGTTGCTACTGTTGTTACTGCCGTTGCTGTTGGTATTGCTGATGTTGTTGTTGTCAGGTCCACCAGCAGCAGCTCCGCCGGCACCGCCGTCACCTCCCGCGCCACCACTTCCACCGCCGGCGCCGGCGCTGCTGTTACGCTGACACGAGTCCAGGACTACTGTTGTTCCTGCTACTGCTGCTGCTGCTTCTGCTGTTGCTGCTGCTGCTGCTGTGGTGCTCGTCGTTGTCGTCTCCATGCAATCTTCATCTTCGACCGGCCAACAATCACGGCGGTTCTGCAAAACACACATGGTTACTTGTACACGTGAACCTGCGAAACAAGTGGCGGGAGGGACAATAAAGTTTAAGGCAAGTTGTACACGTATACAACAAAAGTACCAGAAAACCCCGCTCGCGAGCGCGATAAACTTTTAAGCGAACTTTGTACACTGGATTCTGCTGAGCGCGGCTGTCCCCGCGCTTTTGGCAAGAGTTATGTGCCCCGGCCGGCCGGCGAATGGCTAACCCACCCCCCTTTGGCAAAGTTCAAAAAGAAGAAGAAGAAGAAACAAAGTACCTCCTTGTTGCAATCCCTCACGTAGCTCTCGACAAAGTCCTCTTCCTTGTACTTGCCCGAGTCAACTTGATGATGATGATGATGATGCTGGTGCTGCAGATGATTGTGATGATTGCGTTGTTGTTGTTGTTGTTGGTGGTGGTGATGGTGCTGCGAGTGCAGTAACAGATGCCGGTCCGTGTTGGCTAGCCGATTGTTGCCGCCGACGTCGAAGGACGTGCGCGGCCTCTTGTAGCGCGGGTGGTGGTGCCTGCTGCTCTTGAGCTTTGTGAAATTGAACCTGTGGGGTGTGCTCGAGTCACGGGGTGGCGAGCTCAGGCTGACCGAGGGCCCCTCGATAAGGCCCCCGACTGTTGGACCACCGCCTCCTCCTCCGACTCCCGATGGTGAGCCGACACTGCCGCCTCCTCCTTCTCGGCTCTCGGGCACCTCGCACAGGCCCTTGATCTTCAGCTGATCGGCCGTTTTCAGGAGCGACTGCAATTTCATTTATTTATTTATTTCTTCATACAATAAATTTGCCCGGCGTATATTGCTTTGATAGGTGTGTAAAGTTGAGAAGTGAGGGGGGGGGGGGAGAAAACTGTGAAGGAAAAGACAGGGAATTAGCCGCGCGCCCGGAGCTTTCACTCGATTAGCAGACGCTGCGAGAAATTCACTTACCCTTGCTCCCTCGGACCGAGTTCGATAATACAACGGATACCAGGGGCAAAGGGGCGGGGGGTAGCTCTATCCATCATCCCTGTTTGTCGCATCTCTCTATCTCTTTTTTTTTTCACTCGATTTGTTTGTTTGTTTATTCGTTTAGCTGTGTAAGCTTTTTTTCAGTATAAAAAAAAAAAAGATATACAGCAGGTGCCAGCATTGTTTGGTTGTGCATTTGCGCCACTCGCGTGACAATTGACAACGAAAGACATCGAGCGAAGGACCTTGATCTTGGACCTGATAAAATCCTTCGCTCAAAAAGTAAGTACCCGAGCTTGCAAGCTCAGGCGAAAGAAAAAAAAAAAAAAAAACACCCCCATAGAAGAGTAGAGTCGGTGAAAATCAAATCCCAGCAAATCGAAATAACACAGCGAAAGAAAAGAGAGAGAGAGGGAGGAGGGGAGAAAGAAGGCGCAGTACAAAACATAGTAGTAGCCCTCCCTCCGGGGATATGTATGCATGTACATGTACACAGTGCGCGCAGCCATCGCTTGCAGCACATAGCGAGGGAGAGTAAGTTCGTCCTCGCTCTCTCTGTTCTTTAATCAAGCGCCCACTCGCCCGGACGACGACGTCGGGGGGGGGGGGGGGTGCGTGTGCGCGAGTGCGATTAGGAGGCGGTGGCGGCCGCCGCTCTCGAGAGGTAGACGCCCTCTCCCTCCTCGTCTGCATTTCCACCTCTTCGCCCTCCTCCCTTTGGCTGAAATTTTTTTCTTTTTTTCTCTCTTTGTTTTTTGCTCCCTCCGCTGCAGCGAGTAACTTTTTTTTTCTTTTCCCTCCTCGCGCGTGCTCTTTCACACCCTCTCGGCTCTCCGTGTGCGCGCGAGGCTTACTTTGTCCTCCAGCGTATATACACGACGAGCATGTACGTGGCTTTTGATGTCGGGGTTTTTTTTTTTTTCTTTCCCCTCTCATCCTCCGTACGTGCATCACGGAGCGACACTTTGCTACTTTGGACGCGCGAGGAACGAATCGTCATTTCTTTCTTCTTTTTTCATCCGTCTACCGCAAGCTCCGCGAGCTTTTTTCCCCAATATACTATTCGACTTTTTTTTGTACATATAGGTGCAGCGACGAAAAACAATTGGAATCTATGAGAGGACACTGTTGTTTTTTTTTTTTTTTTTTTTTTTCACATATACATTACAGTGTCTTTGGGTAATCAAGACGTGCCGCGTGGCGTTTAAAAAATGACACTCCTCCACATCGATGGGTAAGCTGCAACGTCGATACAGTGACTCGGAAGCTTTCCATGCAAGGAGGAAGAGGAGGACGGCGGAGCTCCGGTGTCACACCCTGCTCGTATAGGCCGACGAGGGTAGGTATAGGTGCAGGGCGCTGGTACACGTACAGGAGGAGAGAAGAGGCAGGAAAAACGCCCGCAGCAGCAAGAGGACCCCCCCCCCTCACTCTCTCTCCCCGTCCGTCTGTGCGATGCGTCTGTCTGTCCGTCTCTGGCGTGTCGCGGTGGTAGCGCGGCAGATACCCCCGTATCGACCATACCCGGCTTCCCTCCCGAAAGCTCTCTCTCTCTCTCTCTGCTGCTGCTGCAGCCCCCACCCCCCACACACAACCTCCCGAGGGCGACCGCGTGCGCGACGCTTCCAACGACGCGGTCTACGGCCTGTCTCGCTCTCCACCCACCGACACTCGGGCATAGGAGCTTTCGCATACGTATAGGCCGGCTAGTGGTGGTTGCACGGCCGAGCCATAAGAGTGGTCGCGCGCGCGTGGAGCATCATCCAAGTTGGGGAAGGGGGTGCGGATTGACATGCTACGGGTGCACACGCTCTCTCTCTCTCTCTTTCTGCTGATTCTGGGGGGGGGTGGCTTTTTAGGAGCTTCGTTTTATCAATAAGACTCGTGCGCGGAGGAAAGACGAGGAGCGCCAAATCATCATCACGCTAATTTCTACACACTCGCAGTACAACCCTACTACATGTATAGGGTGTGTGTACTTTTCGGGGTTATTTTTTTAAAATGCTTTTCTCTTCCCCCCCCCCCCCTCAATACCCAATCAATAGGTGGATTAACTTTTCATGAGAGCGTCACCCGCGAGACATTTATCATCTGCTGGCGAAGAACCCATACGTGTGTAAAGGAGGACCTGAGTCTCCACTACGGCGCTATATGTATACATGTATGAAGTCTCAAAGGCAAAGTCTCATGCGGGTGGAAAAGGACAAAAGAGCGAGTGGTCGGGGGAGGAGGAGGAGGATTTTCGATTCGGGGTCCTCGTGATGCTCGATAATCCTCCCCTGATTTCGCTGACTCGAGGGGGGGGGGTGCTATGGGGGTTTTACGCGGCGTCTAGACTCTTGCCCCTGATATAATCACTACGTCGCGCGGGCTCGGCTTCATTTGGCAGTGTGAAAAGGAAGCTCCTTGATTATACATGCTGAACCTATACCGCGCACACGATTCTTTTCTTTTTTTTTTATTCCAATTTTTGCCATGAATGGTACATGTACACAGGCAAGGCTTATTTCATTCGGAATTGGCAATCACAACGACCCTGCAACAGTCTTACGTTTGATAAATCCAGAGAATATTTTCTCCTCCGATGATCCATAGGCACACGCGGCGCGTAGCGTTTCCGAAATTCTTGCGTTTCCACCCCCCCCCCCTCGAAAATACACAGCGCGAAACATTCGCTCGTACGCCCATTTTCCCTTCCCCTTTCAGAAGAATAAAAAAAAAAAATCACATCCGAATAAAAAAAACACCCACCCCCGGTTCAAGCTTCCTCCCTAAAAAGAAAAAGATACATCGGGGTGTGCTCGAGTCACGGGGTGGCGAGCTCAGAAAAAGCTCGCTCCATACAAGTCCAGCCTGGCGTGTGTGCAGTTGGAAAGGGAAAAGAAAAGAAAAAAAAAAAAAAAAAAAAGGAAAAAAAACCAAAGTTAAAAGCTAATGGTCGAGCGAGATAAAACGTTCGGGTGGTTTTGCAACAAAGACGAATAACCATCGATTCAGGCGTATGGGAAAAAAAAAAAAAGAAGAAAGTGCATACGCGTATATACCTACGTGTGTATGTATGTACATGGGAGGGGGTGTGTCCTTTCAAAATGGCGGGCCGTTCAATTAAACAAATAAAAGGGGGGCCACTGCTGCTGTCGGCGACGCCGAGGTCCACGGAACTCTCGGAGGAGGAGGAGGAGGAAGTTGAAACGTGGAGAGGGACAAAAGCCACGGGAGCTGTACAGGCTCTTCTTCCATCCCTTGCGCGCGGGGGAGGTACGTATAGATGGTGAGGGAGAGGATGCGGGAATTTGGATGATGATGGGCAGGTTTTTGCGCATTTCCCCCACCCCCTCCCTTTCTCAAACGAAAGGGTTCATTGTACCAGAAATGAATCGGGCTGCAGGGGTGAGAGCTATTGTTGTTGGATTTGAGGGTCAAAGTTGTACGATTCAACGGAGAAAAAACAATAATAAATAAATCAAGGCGCGATAATTTTTCCAAGAAATTTGCACGATACACCGAGTATGAAGCGTAGAAATAGATGATTTCATACGTAGACTCAAAAAGAGAGGTATACCTATCGAAAAGCAGCGGCAGTGTGTACCAGAGGGCGCAGACGAAAAGACGAGGAGGGCGGGTGAGGGGCGGCGGCGCAGCGGAGATTATAAAGACGCGTCGAGAGGGAAAAGAGCCATGGCGGCGGTGGTGCAGCACATCCTCCTTTCTATACTACTATACACCCCCTAACCCCCCTATATAGAGAGACACAGGCCGCGCCGCCAGAATTCGACTCTCGCGCCGTACATAGAGCCTCTCCCCCAATCAATACTATCCGCAGAGAGAGAGAGGGGGGGGGGCTTCAAGGGCATCGCCCGCCCAATTAACCCCCGCCCCCTTCCCCCAACTAATTGACGCACCGAGCCATGGTTTGTTCTTCTTCCTTCCCTTACGTATACACACACTCCGTTGATTTGTTCGTTTTGCCGCTTTTCTCTCCCTGCACCGACGACGGGGCGCGTCTACGCGATTGTCTCGTTTTTGTACGTATAGCCTCTCTTGCGGCGATGGTGGACGCGCGCCGTTGTTTTTCTTTCACTGATACATATATATAATGGGAAGTGTGGACCCTGGGAGGGTATGGGTCGATACCCGCGGCGACAGAGACTGACAAAGATGGGCTCTTTTTCGCGCGAGGCTGCCTCTTGCGACTTTGGTTGTGATGAGCGATCACCCGAAATCGGAAGCGAGAGGAGGAGAAATTGCATCTGAAACAAGCGTGTGTACCACCCCTTCTTTTTCTACTCGTAGTTGAAGCCGTGACACACGGTATAGCATATATAAAAATGAGCGAGAACGCGGAAACCGAGTGGGAGGCAAAAAAGAGAGCGAAGAAAGGCGAGGAATTCGGTAAAAGGAAAAAAAAAAAAAAGAGAGGGCGAGCGAGGCAGCTAGATGGTGTTTTTTTTTTTTCCTTCAACCCCCTTCGTACTTTGGGTACGTCTCAATGACGACCGAGCCTGTCGTATACATGTACGCGCGCGTAAAAGAGCGAAAGAGAAGATGCACATATAGTGCAAGAAGGAGAGACACGGGGCGAAAAGGAAAATTCATGAATGAACGCAATGTATATATCATACGGAGCGCTTTGCTATGTGCACTACAGTACCTATATATGGTCGTGTTATGAAGAAGAAGAAGAAGAAGAAGCAATTGATGAGGTGTGGAGACGGGTGTTTTTTTTTTTCCAACGAGTATCTACAGGGTATAAGTATATAGTCTATACCGTGCACGTGCTGCTGTGTGGAACA